CGCCCGCCCGTCTCTCAGTCCCGCAGTCGCTCCGTCCGGCCACCGTTCTCCACCTCAGGAACGCTCCGAAAAACAAACCGCTGGTCGCGCAGCTCGCCCCCTTGTCTGTCACTCACTGCAGCGCCCGCCAATCCCAGGCAGTCGCTGGACCTTCGTACCACCCCCGCTCACTTCGCTAGCCAATAAGAGGGAAGAAGTCGCTGCCCCAGTAGCCCCCCAACCCCACTCTCTCCCCAACACCCTAACTCTCAGCCGCCAGCTAATCATCAGCACCACACCATGAACCAATCCCGCCCACTTTCTCAGTTTGCCAATGGGCGAAGCCAAGGCCGTTTCCGAAGGCTGTCTACCGCCTGCCAATCATCGAAACAGCACCCGGTTCCCTCTCTTCTAGCCAATCACGTAGAGGGCTCTGAGCACCCGCCTCTGCGCATCCTTGCCGTCTCAGCCTCCCTCTCTCCCCGGGAGGTGTTTGTTGCTCCAATCACAGCTCGCGCGTGAGGCTCCGCCCACATTCCCACCTCCCGTCAGTCACTGAAGGCTCGGCTGGCGCGCGGGCTGGCGGTGTTCCCCTCCGGCTACTTTGGGGCTGGAGTTTGGGAAAACGGCTGGAGGGGCCCTCGGCCTCCCGCCCTCTCAGCTCTCGGCAGTCCAGGCGGGCCCTGAGGCCAGCGTCCTGCCCCTCCCAGTGCCCACACCGGGCGCGTAATAAGCGGGGAGAGTTCTGGCTCTGAGCGCTTCCCGGCGTGTGGCCACCTTTGCTGCCCGACCCCCTGACAACTCCTCTGGTCCAGACGTTGCGCTTGCCCGGAGGCGGGGGCGGCCTCACCGGTGCCCGCCTTTTCCCGGGTCTCCTACCTCCGGGGCCACACCCTCCGAGGGGCTGGGATAGTACTGGAATGTGGGTCCTCGGGAGCCTGGGAGTTCCGCTGCTGGCCAAGGGTAGAAAGCAGTAAGTGGCAAAGTCAGAGAGGTTCTTTCGGATAAGAGTTTTTTCTTTGGTTATGAAAGCAATACAAGCTCTTTGAATTAAAATTGAAAGAAAAAATTGCACCCCAGAGATAGTTTGATCTCTTTCCTACCAAGGTATACAACGTCTGACAAAAATGGCTTCATACTGTTTTGTAGTATGCTTACATTTTATTAAAAGTGTTTTCCCGTGCCACTGAAATATTGTTCCAAAACAATTGTACTGGCTGCATGATATTTCAAAATAGAGAATGACCGTAATTAATTTCCCCAACCCCCATTGTTCAACATTTTCTACACCCACATCTTTATTTATTTATTTTTTTTAATTTTTTTTTTCAACGTTTATTTATTTTTGGGACAGAGAGAGACAGAGCATGAACAGGGGAGGGGCAGAGAGAGAGAGGGAGACACAGAATCGGAAACAGGCTCCAGGCTCTGAGCCATCAGCCCAGAGCCCGACGCGGGGCTCGAACTCACGGACCGCGAGATCGTGACCTGGCTGAAGTCGGACGCTTAACCGACTGCGCCACCCAGGCGCCCCTACACCCACATCTTTAGATGCCAAGTCCATCACAATTAATATGCGCTCCCTTCCTCTAGTCCCTGTTCCAGTGGAATATAAATCAGACGCCAGAATAATCTTCCCCTGATGCCATTTTCAACCGTCAGCTAAGAACCTTTAGTGGTGGCTTTGCTTTGGGTGTCAAATCGTTCAAGAACTACCTTAGACTCCTCTCTTTACACTCCCTCCTCCCCACAATATTTATTTTTTTTTAATTTTTTTTCAACGTTTTTTATTTATTTCTGGGACAGAGAGAGACAGAGCATGAATGGGGGAGGGGCAGAGAGAGAGGGAGACAGAGAATCGGAAACAGGCTCCAGGCTCCGAGCCATCAGCCCAGAGCCTGACGCGGGGCTCGAACTCAACGGACCGCGAGATCGTGACCTGGTTGAAGCCGGACGCTTAACCGACTGCGCCACCCAGGCGCCCCTCCCCACAATATTTAATCAGGCCCCTTGTCCAAGCTGTTTCTTTTTCTCCAACGAGTTTTTAAGTCTGTCATTCTTCTTGATTAGATCCCTATTCAGTTTATTGTACTTCCTTAACTATAATAATCTCTTTCCTAGGGAGGGGAGAAAGAGCAAAGGGGAAAGAAAATTTATAATTATGTCATCTATTATATGCCAGGCACATCGTCTCATTTTATCTTTCCCATAACTCTGAGGTAAACAATACTATTGGCATTTAAATGATGAAAGTGAAGCTCAGAGAAGTTTAAGTACCATGTCTGGGTAGGAGAGCCAGAATTCATACCCAGTCTGTCTGCCACCCAGAGGTCATGTTCTTCTACTAAGCCAGGCCAGTGATTTCTCAACTGCTTTTTCATGATCACCTCTCAAGGAGAAAATTTTGAATTAATTAAATGCAATTTTTTTTTAACGTTTATTTATTTTTGAGACAGAGACAGGAGTGTGAGCAGGGGAGGGGCAGAGAGAGAAGGAGACACAGAATCCAAAGCAGGCTCCAGGTTCCGAGCTGTCAGCACAGAGCCTGACACAGGGCTCCAACTCCCAAACCATGAGATCATGACCTGAGCCAAAGTCGAACACCCAACTGACTGAACCACCCAGGCAACCCTAATTAAATGTAAATTCTAATGGGAGAAATTAAATACTAAGGAATAAGATTTTGTCAAGTAGGGTTGAGATTTGAAGGCCACATACCATTGTATTATCTAAGGTTTTTCTCATCCCTTACGAATCATTTTTTACCTCACTGGAGTACCACCCTGTTGAGAATGTGTGTAATAAGCCAGTGCTAGAGGTCCCAATATACCGGTCTGAGGCTCATATCTGACCCTTAATTGTACTGACCTGTGAGATTAAAAAAAAAAAAAAAAGACAACCATGCGAGTGGAAATCTGGTTAGTACTCTATTGCCTGTGTTGGAAGGTTTATTCAGCAGCTTCTCTTGGAAAGTCTAAAACACATCTCCAATTTCACAAGTTTCACACCAAACTCTTTATCCTTTCCCCCTCCCCACCAAACACCCCCTCTCCTCTGTTTTCCCAATTGTGAAAATACAAACCTAGGAGGAGTCTTCCTTGGTTTTACTCTTTCCCTACCCCTACATCTAATCCTTCAGCAAGTTTCTCACCTATTGTTTCAAAATGTATCTGAATCCAATCCACTTCTCACCACTACAGCCTTGGTCCAAGCCGCCACCCTCTGTTGGATGACTGCCTTAGCCTCCTAACCCTTGGATGACTGCCTTAGCCTCCTAACCCATCACCTGTTTCCTCTGTGGCCACCCAAAAAATGATTCTCCACACAGCAGAGCAATACTTGTAAAATGTAATTCAGATCATGTCATTGCCCTGCTGTTAACCCTCCAATGGCTTTCCATCACACTTATAATAAAACCCAAACTCTTTGCCATGGCCTTTCAGGCTTAGTAGGAGCTGGCCCTGCCATCCTCTCTTGCCTCATCTCTACTTCTCTCCCATGACCTCTCTCCTAGCCACACTGGCCTTCTTACCCTATTTTGAACCTGTCAAGTTCAGGAACTTTGCACTTGCCATTTCTACCTGGAATGCTCTCCGCCATCCATCCCCCCTCCCCCACAAGGTGTTCCCATGGCTAATTCCTACATTTTATTCAGGTCTTCACTCAAACTGTCAACTCTTCTGAGTTTCTAACCACCCCATTCAAAAAGAGCCTCTCTCCTCTCCATCATTCTTTATCCCCATATTTTGCCTTATTTTTCTTCAGTGTCTATGTCTAAAAGTACGTATTTACAGGGTGCCTGGGTGGCTCAGTGAGTTAAGCGTTGGGCTCTCAGTTTCAGCTCAGGTTGCAATCTCACGGTTCATGGGATCGAGCCCCGTGTCAAGCTCTGTGCCAACAGAGCTCTCTCTCTCCCTCTCTCTGCCCCTCCCCAACTTGCGTGTGCAAGCACACTCTCTCTCTCAAAATAAATAAGCACCTTTTTAAAAATTACATTTACTTGTCTTTCCTTTAATTACAATGAACATAAGCTACGTAGGAGCACAGATTTTGTCCTGTTCACTGCCCCATCACCAGCACTTAGAATACTGCCTTGCACATGGTAGAGAACTACAGTACAACCACATAAGTGCTTGGCTGAAAAAAAGAGCCTTCTGATTGTCTTTCTTTCTAGCAAGAGCTTTCTTTGAGGGCTTATTTTCCATTGTCTGTACCTTAACCAGCCATCTCAAACATTCCCACGCTGAAGTTACCATATCAGACTTTCTTCTGAGCTCCCAAACATCATCCATTAGCCTCTCAAAGGCACCTCAAATTCTACAGGTTCAAACTGAATTCATTATTTTCCTCCATAGTTCTATATTTCTTCTGCCATCTTCAGTTTCCCAAGTTGGGTTCTCAACTCCAAGTTGAGTTCTCTACCTTGGAGAACTCTTCCTCACCATTTCCTTCCCCCCTTCAGCTAATCTTGACCATGTTACCAATCTGTCCACTCCTCTCCCATCCTCAGCTCCACCATCCCAACTGAAACCTAATGTAACAGTATCTACTTATGTCAAAGGGTGATCTTTTTAAAATGGACACCTGATCTTGTCACGCTCTGCTTAAAAATTTTAAGTTTTTTCCTATTGCCCTTAGGATAAGTCGAATATATGAATGTAGTTAAGAAGGCCCTTCAGGACCCAGGCTATGCCTCTCCAGCCACAAGTTTTCCCATTTCCTACCTCTGCCAACCTCATCATATGTTCTGGCCACACTGACCACTGGCAGTTTGTTTTGCCTCTTTTCCTCTGCATGTGCTATTTTGTTTTGAACACTCTTCTCCTCCACTTTTGCCTCCATCCTCATTCTTCCAGGAAAGAACTAAGCCTGAACATCACTCCCTCCAGAAAGCCCTTCCAGACAAATACAATTCTGGGTACCAGAGCACCTAGTACTTTCTTCATCAAAGCACCTGTCCCACTCTGTTGTAATTGGCTCTAAAGGAAGTAGGCACAGAGACAGAAGCTGTCATTCAAATTGGTATGCCTAGCATCTTTCATAGTGCATGAAAAAAAAACATATTTTTTTGAATGAGTAAGTGAACCTCAAATGGGGAGGTCAGTAGTTGTAGCCTCCACAAGTATGTTATGTATCTTTTCTTTCTATATTCTCTCCTCACTCATTTTCCCCATGTGAAGCCTCCCATCTGTGTCATTATCTCCTCAAGTCTGTTACCCTGGTTTTACACTGAGTAGATGCCCCTGATTAAATACCTGAACCATACCTGACTTCAAGGATCACGACCTGCCCCTAGAGCTCAGGGCCTCAGGCAGCCCTGTCATATACAAGCTGCATTACTACTTTCCTTTTTTTTCTTTCAAGAGCAGAGGGACACTTGAACACAAGATAGGGAACAATAAACACAAATGAATGCTCTTTGGGATAGTTCGATGAATTTGGTATAAAAAAAAAACAAAACTACCACCTGATTTTCTGAAAATTCTTTTAATTCAGAGGTAAAGTAGAATATATTCAGGTTACCAGTTCAAACACTTTATCTGCATTGTTAAGGATTGATGTATACCTCATAGAAGATTTTTACAACCATGATATTTTATTTATTATTGACATTAACTTATAGAGAAAAACTGCTTTTCCATTTTGAAATTCCATTTCTATAAATTTATCCAAAGGAACACTTTGCAAATGAGCAAAAGTTAAGTAATGTTGATTGCAACATCCAGGATATATTGTGAAGTGAAAAACAAAAACAAAAACAAAAATAGTTTATAAGGCTGAAATGTAGAGGGCAATCACATTTCAGTTTTAAAAAAATGTTCATTCATATTTAGTGGGGGAGGGGCAACATTTATTGAGCACTTACTATTGCCAGGCACTGTCTTAAGTGCTTAACATATATTAACTTACTTAATTCTCAAAATAGCCCTAAGAGATAGATACTATTATCCATATTTTATACATGAAGAAACAGGTACAAAGAGGTGAAGTTCTTGTCCAAGGTTGCTGGCAAATGGAAGAGTTAAAATTTATTCCCCAGCAGATCAGTTCCAATGAGTAGAATAATAAAGAGTAGATTGTTAATGTCAGTTGTATCTTACAAGTAAGGGGGTAGGGAAGTCCCCCATTTGAGGTTCACTTACTCATTCAAAAAAACCCAATGTTACCTTTTTGGCATAGTCAAAAGAAAGATAAAAAGAGGAAAAAGTAGAAACTACTATCCTGTTCAGTGTCCGGGGGTAGCATCAGGAGAGAAAGCCATTTCAGTCAAGACTAATATAGCATCTATCATAACATTCTCTTTTGTCAGACCTACTGGCTCATTTATTTCCTCCTCAGAACATCTCTAGAGGAGTCCAGGGGACTTGTAAAAGTCTACAAGTTGCGATTTCTTCCAGTGTGAAGTCATACTCACTGTTGTACTATAAGTTTCAGAGAATAAAAAAAAGACAAAAAAATAACTCAATAACTCATGGTTTTTCTATTGTTGGCTGGAGGCAAAGCCTTCATGGTTCCTATTTGATTCAGCTGGGGCCTCTGGCAGAGTGAAGGCAGCTACAAAGCACATGAACACTTCTTTTAAGAGTCAAGGCTATGGACAGAACTGGTCACCAATACTCCCATCCCACTAAAAGGTCACTTGAAAGTGAGCCCAAGCCAGCTGCAAGGTATTGAATGATTTTGTGTTGCTAAGACAATGACCAAAGACAAGGTAAAGGCAAGCCAGGACCAGACCTCATTCTTCTGACTTTAAGGTATGCCTGACTCCTGGCCTCTCACATGTGGTCTCCCTAGTTGGACAATAATGTGATGAGTTTTCTTTTGAAAAAATGTTTCCCCTGGTAAAATATATGATTATAGAAAATAAAACTCAGTGATAACATCACCATTCAGAGATAACCAGTTTTGAGATTTTGATACACTTCCTTCTGTTTTTTTTTTTAAGTTCATACATAGATATGACTAGATTTTAAAAGTTGGACCATACTATACAGTTTTTCACATCTTTGTTTTCCACTTAACATTATATTGTAAACATTTTCTGACCTAAAATATTCTTTGAAAAATAAGTTTTAGTAGAAGAATAACTCCTACCCTCTCTAATTAACTATTCAGTTAAATAGTTATTTAACTACTTAACCTATGTAGCTAAAGCGCTCTAGCAGACTTAGAAGCAGAACAGGTCCAAATAAGGTTTCATTTCTGCCTCTTCCATATTAACCTCAGGAAAGACTGTGGGGCACCACCAGGGGTCAGTGCAGAGCCATCTAGTATGCCTTGCTGGAAGAAAATTGGTTACACAAAAATTATTAACAAATCCTACCTATTAGATTAGAGGAATGTTCACATGAGTAGCAAAGTTCCCTTCCAGAGATGGCTTTCCTGGTGCAGATGTCTCATATCAGAAATTATCACATTCCTCCAAATTATAATTATATTCAAAGTTTACAAAACAGAGCTATTTTACAAACCAAGGTCTATCAATAGAAAATGTAGTATTAGACCTATTCTCACCTGCTTGGTATGAGACCATTTGTTCATAATACTTGGCCTCATTATTTTATACGTTTTCTGTGAAAATCAAATAAATAACATATGAAAGAATCATCTTATAAATTACAAAGCAGCACTTCAACTTTAAGTTGCACTATTTTAATGATGTGTTCATCAGATATTTGGATGAGTTATCTCCTATACAAACAAAATTCCAGGTAGTATCATGATTATGAAATGAGGTATAAGAGCATATGCTTTGGCATTTTCATGGTTTATTCATTGGTTTTCCTCCCCCTTGCCTTTGCTCTCCAACTGCTAAAGTCATGATGGAATTAGGAATCTTTTCCTAGAAGGAGGAAGTTATTATTTATAGCCAAATTGGTTTTTCTTCTTTTCCTCATTTACCTGAGGCTCCTTCAGGAAAATTACTGAGTTCAGAACTGGCTTAAAAAACTTGAGTAGGTGAATAATAGGGATCAAAAAGCTACTCCAGGCCTGACATGCTTGACGGGCTCCAGCACAGGTGATTGGCACTCTTGGTCTCTCTAAACCCAAAAGTGACTCTGAAGAGCATAATGTACAAAGGGTCCTATTCCCCAGCTGTCAGGCTCTGACTCAGTCCTTCACCCTTCCTTCTATTCTCATTTCCTCTCCAGTTCCCAGTGCCCCATCATTTAGCAGGAGGGATGAAAAGGAGCCAGGGTGGGTGTTCTGGGGATCAAGCAAGTTTCAAAACCAGCATGGCATAGCCTTTCCTGAGAGCAGTCCAATCTGCTCACAGGTCCACTCTGACCAATCTCAGAACACATGGAAGGCTGGGCAAAGCAGGGCCTGGGAGTCCCTTATTATTGGCACTTGGGTTTCCTACTGGGTTAGAACCTTAAGCTCTCTGGCAGAAGCAGGGCACAGAGGCCACCTGAAGAGAACAAGGATGCAGGCACAGCAGCTCACACTGCCCTAGGATAGCTCCAGCAGACAGAAGTCCTGTGTCTGACCTCTGAGGTCTTATGCCTTAGGGCAGGATCTAACTCAGGGCACCAAATAAATAGCCTGTACTCCTGGTAAGTACAGGTCTTGGTACACAGGTGTTTGACAAATACTATTTGCATGATCAGTGACAGGTTTAGGCCATTAAACCAGCATTAGAGCACAGAGTAGTACCCAAAGAGAGCTACATTTCTTTGGTCAATTAAAAAAAAAAAAAGTTCTGGAGTAGTGGAACTAAACCCATAGATGTCAAAGGAAGTCAAGAGGGTTCCAACAGCTGGACAAAAACCCAGGAAAACAGAAGACCCACACAATAGCAGTGCAGCAACCCACATCAATCACCTTATTATTATTTTTTTTTCAATCACCTTATTTAAGAGTAGCTTCCGAGGTGCCTGGGTGGCTCAGTTGATTATCTGGCTCTTGATTTCGGCTCAGGTCATTTGTGGGACTGAGCCCTGTGTCAGGCTCCATGCTGAGCGTGGAGCCTGCTTGAGATTCTCTCTCCCTCTGCCCCTCTACCTTGCTCAGGCATTCTCCCTCTCTCTCTTAAAAAAAAAAAAAAAAAAAAGTAGTTTATAGTACATGGGTCCTCAGGGCACCCATCCTTCCCTGAGATCAGAGTCTGATTAGCTGGCTGTTTCCACCCTGCATCCAGGAGGGCTATGAGACATCAGCAGAACTGACAAAGAGGCCCCACAGAGATGTAGTGATTCCCTTGGCCTCAAAGGGCTGCAGGTCTTGGTTTTGTGTCTCCTAAGCTGCTAGGTCTCCAATCTGCTTCAGTCTCAGAGTACGCTGCAAAAGCCTGTGCTCCAGAAAGGGCTGCCAGTTGCCTAGGAAGGACCTCATGGGCACATACAGCCTGGTTACTCAATGTTGTCATAGACCTGGATCACATCTTCGTGGTTGCCAAGAGCCTGGATGAGAAGGGCAGCCTGCTCCAGGTCGGGGTCAGCGAGCCGCACCTTTGTGTTGGGGATGAATTCTAGCGAACAGGACACAGAACACAAGCCCAGCGAGTCCAGCTTCTTCCTCACTTGATGCAGTGAAGAGGCATCACAAATAAACTAGGGACAAAGGAAAGTCTGGTGAGGAGTCAGGAGGTAACAGGGTAAGGCCAGTCAGAACTCTGCAAAACCTGAATGCAATTACTATTATGAATCACCAGATTTAAGTTCTTTACGAGCAGAGATATAGTTTTCAGAGTTCTGAATCCTTCTCAAAGTCCTCAGTAAGCCCTTTCCAGTATTCACTTAATAAATGTTTGTGCAATGTGTGAACTCTTTATGTCACCTGTACCCCAGGGCACAAAAGAAGAAACCGAGAGAGGCATGCCTTAACGCATCTATTAGGACCCTCTCAGAAGTCCACCAAACACTAAGTCTTCATACTCACTTTAAAAATGTTCTTTTCCTCTTCGTCTTCAGTTTCCTTGACATCTTCAGCTCCTGCTTCAATTGCCATCTCCAGGGCACGCTCTAGGTTCACGGCTTTCTTCTCTCGGTCCTCCACTCCAACCACGATCACCCCCTTTTTGTCAAAGGAGTGGCGAGCTCCATCAGCCATCATTCCCCTAAAAGGAAAGGAAATGCGCCAGACCAAACGCCTTTAGACTCAGCCTCCACATAGCACTGCATTCTAATACTCTTATTTCCCACCCAGCCTTCGGAGTATAGACATACATACTTCTGAAGGAGAAGATGCAGCTACGACCTGGCAAGGGAATAATCCAAACATATCTCCGTCCCCTACTTTCTGTCCTGATTGGAGTTTAGTGGATGCAAAAACTTTGCTCATCTTTTAAGATTCCAGTCTCGGTAGTACATTTTAAGATCTGGACATTATATGGCTACACATGAGGAAAATAGGTCAAAGAGCCCCTTCTACATCTAACGAACAAGTCTTCTGGATCCTGCCTAGTACAGAACGAAACAAGGGAGAAGAAATGATCCCACTTGGATTCTAAGGATGAAGTGTGCTTAAAACTTGAAACACCGCCAAGAACAACAGTATTTTCCTTGCAAAGAATTGGAAATTTAAGGCTTCATAGCCTTCCACTTTCCCTACACATATACCTACCCGTTCTTGTTCAGGATATGTCTGATGTCTGAATGGCACTTGGAGCCACTGTTGGATAATGCCTCAATGAGCAGGGAAGAGCCACCAGGGCCTCGGCCCTCATACAGCAAATAAACATCCTTGGTTTTCTGCAATAAACAACATGAGCACATTTTCCTGTTTCCCAGTTCCCTCCTGCATCCCAGCCCAGAACACAGATAACAACTCCATGGGAGGGGCTCTCTGGAGTAGAGCTTAGACTCTCAAGTCTTTATTGTTGTCCCCCACCTCTGAGAGGTGGCCCTTGGGACCAACTTTTGAGGTAACTGAAAGTATAACCCCTTACTGGGAAGGGAGTCTGTTTCTCTGGTCCCTGAACAATCAGTCAGCCATCTCCCAGTTTCATTTCCTCCCTGTCCCAGCTAAATCTCACATCTAACACACACACACACACACACACACACACACACACACACACACACACACCCCAACTCCCACCAAGACTCCTCCTCCTATGCCCACCCCGCATGAAACCCATCGGTGAAGTCTCCCCTGGGGTGCTGAGTACTGCTTCAGGAAATAGCACACCTGGGCCCTATCATAAGAACCACTGAAAATAGCAGGGCCACAAAATTCAAACAATTCATCAGAAGTCTAATGACCAATCAATCTCATCTGGACCTTCCATGCCACCTCCATTTATCCCTTGCCTGCACATTCAACTTTCACGACTCTCTCCAAGCACCCTGCCCTGCTGCCTTTCCAGGAACTCCCAAATGACAATTTCTTCCTTCCACAGCCCACATGAAGGCAGTGTTTATAAATGGTTAAAGAACAGGCTCTAGAGTCTGTCTGGTTTCAAGTCTGTCATTTTCTCTGTGACTTGGTCACCTAATCTTTCTGTTTCCCGGTTTCCACTTAAGGTTGTTTTGCGGATTCAGTGAGATAACGCATACAAAGTTCTTATCAAAGTGTTTGGCCTAGAGTAAGCACTCAATAATTATTGGCTATTAAGATGATTATCATTCCTCAAATCCTTCCTCTTTGTCCCAGAGGAAGAGGTGTCCTCTCACCTGGGCTCAAAGACAATTCACATAACTGGGCTCTACATCCTTGCCCCTCCCACCATCACTATTGCCCCTGTCTCTCTTTCTACTGGCTCTTCTCCTTTAGGGCATAAATATCTGAAAAACAAACCTTTTCTCAATCTAATATTCCCCACACTGTGTCCCTTCTTTCTCTCTCATCTCCTCACATACTTGGCTAAGCAGTCCTAGGTCCCTAGGCCATATGCTTCTGTACATTGTCTATTCATCCTGTTCCTGATTATGCTTCCACAACCAATGTCCAAGGACACAGAGCCACCAGAAGGCTCTGTATTGAGGGTATTGACCACAATGCTACTCTTCTCTCTGATAATTTCAGAGTGTTTAGTGGCCTTCCAGACATGGGCCCCGGAGGGGCTGTGATCAATAAGAAAATGTCAAAGTGAGGACACACCCCCATTTTCAGTGATGCCTCAATCGTTGACTTGGGCATGTGCTTGCTGCGACACACCTCTAAGATGTTGGCCAGACTGCTGTTGAGTTCAGGGTTGGGGCCTCCTTCTGAGATAGAGAGAAAAAAGTGAGTGAAAACACTGCATTACAGCCAGGGGGAAAGAAGGGATTTCTGCCACTCTACCCACCTCCAGCCAGAACAGCAGCAGGTCGCCACTTAGCTCTCAGTTCATTTAGAACATTAATTCAGCGTTTGAATACAGAGAAGTATTTTGGAAAAGAAGGTTCTAATTCACTCTTTAAGGGCGGTTATCTTCCTGCTAGGTTTCAGTGAACACCACTTTGAATCGGGTAAGAAATGAAAATGGTACCGACATTTCCTGGACTTATTAATACCCCTTGCTCTGACACCACTATTTTGTAATTATTGAAACATTCACATGACAGAGCATGTAATCACGCTGTCTCTAAGAGTAGGGGCTATATCTCATTGTCTTGTATTACCAGTGCACATAACAAACATTCAATACTGTTATCTAACTCAGTATCAAGATTTTAGAAGAAAAGGAAGCAAAGAGAAATATCAGGCATGAGTTCTAGGGGTAAACTTATATTTACTGAGTGCCTATTATGCACCAGAAATGACCTCAAGGTAGGCACTATCCCTGTTTTAGATTAGAAAACTGAAACTCGGGGAACCTGGGTGGCTCAGTTGGTTAAGTGTCCGACTCCAGCTCAGGTCATGATCTCATCATTTATGAGTTCGAGCCCTGCGTCAGGCTCTGTGCTGACAGCTCAGAGCCTGGAGCCTGCTTCACATTCGGTGTCTCCTTCTCTCTGTCCCTCCTCTGCTTGCACTCTCTCTCTCTCTCTCAAAAATAAATAAACATTTAAAAAAATAAAGAAAGAAAACTGAAACTCATCAAGGTTAAGCCATTTGCTCAAAGTCATACAGTTAGTAAGTGACAGAAACCAAGTCTTCTTGACTCTGAAGTCCATAATTTTTACAGGACTTGTTCTCCACTCCTACAGGTATCTGACACTAAATACAAAAACAAACAAAAAAAGCCTTTCTACAGTGGCTACACAGTTGAAAAAACCATGCTTGCAAACTTACCTTCCAAGAAAATGTGTCTTAGGAAACCCTAACAAAGCAAACTGAGTCTGGGCAACTAACAGCTTTACTCAACGCCCCTGCCACACAACTATGTGCTACCAGAGGGGACTAGAGGGTTTGATTTGTCTCTACTGAAAAGACACACGAGTGACCTTACCCTTAGGGTCTGTTTCTAAGAAGTACCCAGCTACACTCTAGAATGAAGTCACTTTCACCATTATCATCCTAAGAGCAACTCTGTGACAAGCAGGCATACGCTCAGCATCTGGAAAGGTGAGTGGAGACCTACAGTGTAGAGAGGTGTTTTGAACGTTTATAAAGTGGGCAACGGTGAGTATTAGGAAAAGAAAAGAATATGAAGGACCAAGGATCGGGGTTGGCTCTGGTTTAGCTCTGGGAGGCAAGCGAGGCTTTGGGCGCGGAGAGGACAGCAGCGGACGACCGTCAGGTTCTTACCTTTAACCGCCAGGCGGATGCTCAAACAGAGCTTGGAGAAGATGCGACTCCTTTCGGCGTCCTTGGGACCCTTGATATGCCGGACTTTGGACCACTTGTTGTGCCCTGCGGGGACCGCCGCGCTGAGGTGCAGCGTCCTGCCCGGAGCGGGGTTGCAGCCCGTGGGCTCAGGCTGGGAGGCCGCGAGGGTGGACGGAAGAGCCACCCGGACACCGGGGCCTTGCGCCCACAAGCACCGGGCAGGAACTCTGCCTAGGCTGACAGCGGCCCAAGACGCCATCGGCTCCGACCCTGGGCCAAGGTCAGCAAGAGCAGCCAAAGAGCAGCGACCACGGTCAGCCCGTGGTGTCCGCCAGAGAAACAAGCAGGTCCCGAGCCTGCGGCTACCTCCGCCCTTCACCGGAGACCCAAGTGCTCAGGCCAGGCAGGGGAAGCAGTGACACGAAGCACCCTGCACCATCCCCGCGGAAGCCGGGAGTGGGTGCCCTCCATAAAGTAACACACTTCCTTTCCCCGGTCCGTTCCGGAAACGTGCCCCCATCGCCCGCAAAATCCGTTCCGTCTCGCGGTACTCGCTTGTTTGTCGTACCCGTGCAGAGCTGGGGCGAAGCGGGGCGACCTTTTTTTTTTTTTTTTTTTTAAGGTGTAACTAATAGTTCACTTAGGAATTTATTATTGTTATTATCCAAGCTTCTTTGCGATGGGCTCGGCACTCTCCTCGTACTTTGCCGTATCAGAAACATCAGATTACTCCTAGTACTTCTCCCAGTTCCTTTGTTCAACACAAACCTGTCTTTGCTGGGCTTTGTTCCACTTGACTTCACCTGGCTAACTTTTGTTTTCCTTCAAGATTCAGCTCAGGCATCATTTTCCACCAAATGGAAACATCTCCAGATTCTCCAGTCGGGTTCAGATGCCCTACTTTGTGCTCACATAACTCTTCATACACGTCTGTACCTTAGCACATAACTTTTTAATATAAACATGTTTATGGCTCTGCCACAGTATTAAATTCTTTGAGAGCAGGTTGGTACCCTTGTGTCTGGCACAGTTCTTCGGGTTTTTTGTTTTGTTTTAAACAGCTTTATTGACATGATTTACATGTCATACAAGTCACCAATTTTAAAGTGTATAATGGCTTTTAGTGTATGTATTCACAGATTTGTGTTGCCATCATAACAATCAATTTTACATTTTAGTCACCCCAGAAAGAAACCTTTTACCCATTAGTCATTGCCCATTTCCCCCCAATTCCCTCAGTCCTAGGAAACCACCAATTTACTTCTGCCTCTATGGGTTTGCCTATTCTGAACATCTCATGTGAACAGAATCATACAATATGTGGTCCTCTGTGACTGCCTTCTTTCACTTGGCATATAGTGTTTTTAGGCTTCATCCATGTAGCATATGTCAGTATTTCATTCCTTTTAATTGCCAAAAAATATTCCATTGTATGGATATACCAATTTTATTTACCCATTCATCAGTTGATGGACATTTGGGTTGTTTCCACCTTTTGACTATTATGAATAATATTGTCATGAACATTTATGTTCAAGTTTTTGTACAGACATGTTTTTGTTTCTCTTGGGTATACAACAAGGAGTGGAACTGGTGGATTGTATAGTAACTCCATTTAACCTTTTGAGGAACTGCCACAGTTTTCTAAAACAGTTGCATTATTTTACATTCCCAACAGCAACATATGAAGTTTCCACTTTTCTGTACATCCTTGCCAACACTTATCTCTTTTTGACTATAGCTGTTGACATCCTAGTGGGTATGAAGTGGTTTCTTTTTTTTTTTTTTTTTTAATGTTTATTCATTTTGAGACAGAGAGACATAGCATGAGGAGGGGGGAAGGGCTGAGAGAGAGGGAGACAACAGCATCCGAAGCAGGCTCCAGGCTTTGAGCTGTCAGCACAGAGCCTGATGCGGGGCTCGAACTCACGAGCTCTGAGATCATGACCTGAGCTGAAGTAGGACGCTTAACCCACTGAGCCACCCAGGTGCCCCATGAAGTGGTTTCTCATTGTGGTTTTGATTTGTATTTCCCTAATGACGAATGATGTCAAACATCTTTTCATGTGCTTATGAAAATACTATTCATAGATAGTATTACTTTTTGTAATTTAAAAATATAGTTTAATATAAATGTTACTTTGAATAGCAAAAAGCAAATTAAGAGAATTTATAATTGCAAATAAGCATAAAGGCCAAAGTGAAGTTTGAGGTTGCCCTTGTCCTATCAGCCTAAGTCTACCAAGGCAAATCTGTAGTTCAACAAAGTCAGACTATAGACTCACTGCAACAAGGAAAACTGCGCACTATAGGGATGGTGGGGTGTCTCACCAAACAAAGGAAAAGATAATTATAATATAGTATATGTACTAGTATACATATAGTATGGACAAAGGTGGAGGTTAGGCGAAATTTCAATGAAATAGAGTTTGATAGGCTCAAAGGAACACAGAGCTGTATGAAAAGTGGGTGAACATCAGTTCTGGACTGCAAAGCAGACAGAGTTTAGTTTCTGTGGAAACTACAAAGCTAAGTGGGGAATGCTATATTCAAAAACCCCTGCTCTGAGGTTCTATACCTGGCTGGAAATCAAGGCTGCTTCTCTGCCAGTGATTTGGATTCTCCAACCAAGACTGTAGGTCTTCATTCTCACAGATATCATTTCAAACAGCAAACTTTCTGACAGTCTATGATTTTAGAGAACAAAGTTTTTCAGTGAATTAAAAAAAGAAAAGAAAGTAGTCACTGTTATGACACAGATATGCTTGGGAGAAATATTGTTTCTTGTTAACTTTGCAGCTGCTTTTATCTGTGTCTCTATCTGTGATGAACAGCAGGGCGGAGTTTTACTTTCTCAGTCTGAGCTAATACTTAACTGTTCTCAAGATAAATTCACAGATGACTGAACCATTCTAGAGCCTGGTTTTCAGGATCATTGAAGTCATGGTATGACAGAGATATAACTATTTATCTGCCACTTTTATTTCCTCTTCTGAGGCACACAGGAAGATGATCCTTCTTGACCTTCCTTGGAATCATGTGACTAAATCTGGCAGATATGGGCAGAAGTGAGTAAGCCACTTCCAGACCCTATCTTGAAAAACGTATCTCTCCCTCCCACATGTTCTGGATGATCTAGCTGACCAACCTCCAAAGAACTTCATGTAAGCAAAAAGTAAAATTTTGTTGTGTTCAGTCTGAGGCTTGGGGGTTTGTTCCTGCAGCTTAGCCCAGGCTATCAAGATGAATAATGCCAGTATTGACTCTCCCAGTTCTCCCCTTAAAAAACAAAGAGCAGGAATCTCATATTTCCCATAAAATACATGAGCAAACTGGCCTGGTCGCGGAAACCCTAGTTAGCCATCAGAACCTGGTGTCCAAACCCTGAGGGTCTGGGAGTTACCATTTGTCATCTTTCACAGCCAATAGTTCACTGAATCTTATTACCCCATCTCTTAAGTCTCTTCAGTTATGCCCTGTCCTCTCCTTCCTGCTGTTCCTGCTTTAGTTCAGGCTTTTACTTTTTCTCATCTTGATTATTATAATAAGTGAACTGACTCCATTTCACCTCCTACTCAGGCATTTTTTTCATGGCCTCCTAAAGTGCAATTCAGAGCATGACTTCCCTCTATGTAAATTTTCCAAAGTCTCATATAGGAGTTAAGGCCTGAACTTTCTGCAAAGCACAAAAGATTCTGCTTCATCTGGCTCCTGCTTACCTCTCTAGCCTCATTTCCTGCCATTCCCCATACAAAACCCCGTATCAACTTCTATTTCTCTGAATATGGCCATATTATTTCTTGCCTCTAGAGTTGTATGTGGATATTCTCTCTGCCTTAAATGTCTTTCCCTATTCCCGGAGAACTCCTACTCAGCCTTCAAAACCCAGTTCAAACATCCTTCATCTTGTGAAGTTTTCCCTGACCTCCTCTGGCTCCTACTCAGATCACCCAGGTGATCACCTCCTCTGGGTGATCACCTCCTCCTCAGGAGGCAGCCTGTAAGCCTAAACATACCCATTATTGCATAACACTGCCAGTAACTGTTTATGTGGATGTCTCCTCTGGGAGACTGCAAGTAATTTGAGGGCCATGGCCCCTGGCATAGGGTAGATGCTCTGTGTTTGGTTAAAGGTGATGAGTCAGGCTGTCAGATAGTGTGATGGGCTGGGGCAGACTCTAATCCCCCAGCCAGGGTCTCTGGAATGTGCCCACAGTGGCAGAATGGGAAGAACTGAATTCATTACAAGAAGAAATTCAGTCTATACATGTTCAAGTTTTATTACAAAGTATGATGGGCAGAAAATACGGTACTTCTTATACAGGAGGCTGAAACAGAATGAAAGGGTGAAAATTAGGTTTAATATACTCAGGAAGCAAGAAATAAAGTCATAGATGTAACACTTCACTTTCAGGTGCCTTTGAAGTAGCCTTCAATGGAGATTTACCATTGTGGTTTCACAGCACAGTGTTAACATTTTATTACAAGCCCTGTGTACAATCAATCCTGTGATAATAATATTTTAAAAAGAAAAATGGTGATAGTACAGTTCTGCAAGGGGGCAGCTTCCTCTCCACCTGACCATGGGATGTCACAAAACCTACAGTATAGAGGAAAAGCTTAAATATATAACAAGAAATTAAGTTCAGACATACTAGGCTAAAGGGGGCAGAAACTGATTGGCTAGAGCTTAACATTTCAGAGAATAAGAAATCTCCATTTTCTACATAGAGGTTTGTACAATCATGCTACAAGTTCACACTTGGGGGGGGGGCAGTCACTGACAGGGTCATAATATACACAGAAACCCAAGCAAGTGATTCATTCTCAACTCAAGCAAGTCAAAGCTTTAGGTCACCAAGTTTTGTCACACACTGTATTACCACAGCCAACCCCAGGTGAGAACATTTCTCTTAAACAGCAGACACCACAAGTCCATATTCACTGGGTTGTCCTCAAGGTGGGTCCTTGTGAGTTTTCCAGCTGTTACACAGACTGCCAACATCTTTCTTCTTGAGTTCGTACTTTCACTAGCTTAGCTGTTTCTGGTTTGATATACCAGTCTAAGCCTCTCTGGGAAGGCACCTGCATGTTTCCATACTTAAAAAAAATAATATCCACAAAGTAGCCTGAGAGGACCGGGCCCATACTGTGTAGCCACACCTTTGACTTTGAGTGCCAGTGGCAATGACAATGGTGGGAGAAAAGGGTGCAGGTGGGAGAGGTGGGCAAGGCTCTGCAACATGAGACACTCTGGAC